TTCTGAGTTCAATTGGCTACTTTCCAAAATGACAGTGGTCCAATAGCCCAAAGCGCAGGAGAATGGAATCATTCACCTGGCACTGCAGTCCGCAGCATCCATTGTTGTGCTCTACTGGTGCATTTCTCCATGGGAGCCTTTGGGGTTGCCAGTAGTCACTGTGTCTGCAGGTTAGAGTCGCACATCCCACCCACATAACCTGAAGCCCTAGGTGAAACGACCTCTTGCCACCCACTTTTCTTTGTCAAGGACCCTCTCTTCACTCTCCCCATGTGCTCCAATTCTTACTTCAGTTCCCTGCCGAGTCCTTGGGGACCCACTTCCCTCCTATTCCTCTTCCTCCAGAGAGCTTTTAGCCTTAGAGTTTTTAAGTGCTTTAGAGGGCGAACTCAGACTGTTGTGCAAGCAAGTTCAGCTAAACCCTAGAGGAGACTACATACTTTTCAGGGTGCCATCTAGGCAGAGTTTGTGCAACGTCCATGCACCCTTGAACCAATGGTCAGCCTGATCATGCTCTGGGGACAACCTGGCAGCTGAAGGACACCTGGCAGATGCTTTTTAAGATCCCTGAAGGATGATGATTCAACAGACTCCGATGTTAGCTTCTGGCCTGGACTTCAGGGCCCCCTACCTTACTCCTTAAGAGAATCCTGACTCTTGTCTCACTAATCCCATTACACTGCTTTTCCCAAGCTGGTGGCACAACTTCTTCCCAGCCCTTCACCCATATTAGTACTGGCTCCTGAATTGTTTTCAGAAATTCTAGCTCCTTTTCCATCTACTTTTTGCTGGGGCTCATCCTCCATCTACATTACTTAAAAAGAGGAAGTGGGAGGATGAGTTTGTCATACCCTGTAGCTCTGTAGAAAGTGCCCTGATAGGTACACAGCTCAATAACAACAGGGCTGAGAGTCAGGAAGAACCACTCAGTGGCATGGGGTCTCTGCACATAGGTTCTGCCGTGAAAGGCGCAGCCTAACTTTGAGGACCATTCTAGCAGCCAGCATCCATGCTGCTGCCATATCAGCACTGAAGCTGGGAGGACCAAAGCTCCAGGGCTTCCAAATAGGGAATCTTTAACCTGTGGTGGTCAGGGACTGAGTTTTGTCTGATGCAGGTATGGCAGCTCGGAGAGCTCCCAACTTGAAGAGCATTCACTGGCAGCAAGTGGCCCACATGTAGCTCTACACTTGCAGACATTCATTAAACTTTACCCTAGCAGGAAGGGGCATAGCTCATGGGTAGAGCATTTTGTTACAGATCAAGCGGTCCACAGTTCAAATTGGGGTGCCCGCTATTCCTTCCTACTTTTCACCTTTCAAAAAACAGCCTCAATTTCAATCTTTCCCTCTTTAGTACACACCGAAGGACACATTTTCTCTTTTTGTCCAAACAGCAAATATTGAAGTTCTATTGTGGTGTTTATTGACACCTAATTTCAAATAGATTACTCAGAACCGTTTGTAAAAGTGCCTTTTCCAGTCCTCACCCTGGACCTATTAAATCAGAATCTGTGCAGGGCAGTCCAGGTCCAATCAAAGCACCGCATGCTTCCAGATTGCAGCTGAGTCTGACCACAGCAATCCCCTCACAGCCTTGAGCTCCTGTGACCTCTGGTAAGAGCCACACTGGCAGGTCAGTCAGGGAAGAGGCTCCGCACCATCCCTACCGTGGAGGTGATTTCATGGCTCATGGGGTCCTTCCCCTGCTTGATCATCCTGGTCCGATCATGAACACCAAAGCGCTTTCTCTGCTTAAGGGTGATGGCACCAGAACTATGATTGTCTTCGTGAGTTACTTTTCCACCCCTGTCATCAGTTCTGTGATTCCTGGAGGACACTGGCAATGCTGAGGCCACTGTTCGCCTGTAGTGTTTCTGATGGATGAGGCCCTGTGAGGCAGAACTGCACCGGGGACCATGGATCTCTCCAGAATGACCTATGTCCTCTGAACAAGCAAGTACATCATGACGCCCTCCAGGCAGAGGATGTACATCAGGTGTTTGGAACCAAGGGACACCGGGGTGGGGGCTGAAAAGAACCTTCTCAGGGGAGACGGATAAAGAAAAGGTAGGAATGGGTTGGGATACAGAATTGTCTGGGATCTGAGGAAGAGAAAGCTGTCGGATGACGCAGATGCATTAGGCAGGAGAGACTTCCTGGAGGTCGTTCCTATGGCTTCCCTCATATTCTCAGTTAGGTGGAAGAGTCAGTATCTTGAATGCTGAGAACACCACATCTGGTGAATTACAGCACCTGCACATCAGAAAAGAAAAAGTCCCTCAACCCACTCCCTGGTCTTTTCATTTATTTCAGGGGCAGCCCTTAGCTATCGGTCTATTCCTTAACTATTAACCACCTTACCCATTTCCTTCTGTAGGGTGTCATGCATACGAACCCACACCCACATTGGAACATACATACAGTTGTATGTGTTTATAACCTTTAATGTATAATGATGTGCCTGTACCTGTCTTTAAATGTCACAGTGTGCAAACATCACACGTGTGGCTTGCAATTTGCTTTCTCACTTAGCCTCATTGCAGCATCTTTCCACGGTCACACACTGCGCCTTCTTATCCCTGCCTGTTGCCTCACATTCCACCCGTAAAGGTGCTGGGAGGTTTCAACCCCACTCTCCTTCATGGACATTTAAATGGTTTCCGGTTTTTTTTTTGTTTGTTTGTTTGTTTTTGTTGTTGTTTTTGGTACCGGGAATTGAACTCGGATCCTTTCGCTTGCAAGGCACGCCACCAAACTGATGAGCTAAATCCCTGGCCCAAACGGTTGCCGTTTTGCACTCATTCAGAAATGGACTCTGTGAATTTTATGCATACTCAGTCTTCATCTATTGAGAGGACTGTTTCTCAGGGATGAACCCCTAGAAGTTGGAACTTTACAGAAAATCATTTTACCAACTGAACTTTTTTAGGTAAAAGCTATATGCTTCAGGTGGAAGAGTTGAATCATAAATAAAGACACATACAGACCTAAATTACCTATATCTCCACTCAGACACAAGTTGCATTGGCCTCCAAATGATGAATTAGCATGACTAATATGCTGCCATTAATTAAGCATCCCCTTGAGTCAGTGAAGACGAAGGTGCTGACACCTAGGTAGGTTCCGTCCTCAGTCCTGTGCACCTGAAACTTAGTAACTCTTCAATACTTGTCCTTCTGGAAGGGAATCACCTGGATGATTTGAAAAGTCTGCTCAGCTGTTGAAATCATCAAAGCCACCAGGTCTACTCATCCAAGGTCCCTTCAAAGTGTTGTAGTAGTAAGGGCAGGTGTAGGGCAGGAGGGAGTGGCAGTTCAGAGGCACAGGGCTGGCCAACACAGCCTGTCCAGCTCATCTGCCTTGCTTGGGTGTATCCACTCCTATAAAGACTGTCATTATGCTCCTTCTCTTCAGCAAGGGGGTATAGCTCAGGGGTAGAGCATTTGACTGCAGATCAAGAGGTCCCCGGTTCAAATCCGGGTGCCCCCTGCTGGTCATCTACTTTATTGCCAAACCTACAAGGGTCTTTTTGCCCTCTTGCTAATACTCTTCCTACAGTGTGCGTCAGCTTTCTTTGATGACATCAAGCATGTGGCAGAGGATGTGTACTTGAGGGGGTGGGTTGGTTCAGGTGTCTGTAGTCCAGTTGATAGGACCAAGGTCCTAGGCACTGACTTTCATCCCTAGTCTCTTTTGGTTTTTATTCTGAGACAAGTTCTCTCTGAGTCACTAAGTGGCCCAATCTGCACCCCAAGTGCATATGCACCTGCCTCAGTCCTCCCCAGTGCTCAGATTATAGGTGTGCATCAGAAGGCACCACTATGGGCTTTTAAAATGACGTGTGTGTATGTGTGTGTGTTTAAAAGCAGTTCCTAATTGGCACCTCAGCCAAGTTTGCAATCTGAGGACATGATGAATTACCAGCAATTCAGTTTGAATTGCAACACCACTTCGGAGAGCCTTAGTAAAAATACAGACAACTTTAGCAATTTGACTCTGTAGCACTCACAGGGGTCTTGAACACTAATATCGTGAAGTACAATCACCTGCTAATATGTAATGATTCAAGGGAAATAAAATAGCAGAGTTTGCAGAACAGTTTAACACTAAACAACAGTATGGTGAGGTCCAAGCTGGGGCATTCACTGAGGGATGTGCAAGCCTGGGCTGGATGTACAGGCAATGGCCAGGTGTGGAGAGGGGGACACTGGGAAAGGCAGGGAAGGGTAGAATGAAGCGGTGGCCGTGGGAGGCAGGTGACCGATTCTGTGGCACAGCACTGCTAGGACAGGTGAAAGGCCGTAACTCAGGTCTCAACTGCCCCCAGCACAGTTCAGAATAGAACACGATCATGAGGGAACACGAGGGGTTCTGAGCACAGCATTTCACAGGGGATCACAGCAACCTGAGTCCAGGTCAGAGGCTCCCTACTGTGCCTGCCTTCAGAGACCAGGGTCCTTCATCTCTGAGGTTCCTCGTGCTGAACCTCCCTGAAACAAGCGACAAGAGGATGATTGGGTCAGCAGCCTCCCCCTCTTCCACATGGCCCTGCCACCCATGTGACCTCCCCATTCCAGCCCTTCTTTTGGCCTTTGGCCTACTTGTGTCGTTGTCCTTTCACCTTTTGTCCCCATGTGAACCCTTCACCCACATATTGAGGAACGGTGTGAACTTGTGGAGAAATCCTGCCTGCAGCTTCACAAGCCGATATAAAGTTCACTGTGTCCCTTTATCCCCTGTCATCTGGCTGCCAGGTCCCTCCACTCACACTTCATGTGCGTCCTCAGTGATCCCAGGAAGCAGAGAGCCTTCGTGATTTTATATGCTCTGCACCTGCATCTTTTAAACTACAACAGAAAGCTGAGAGAGTGTGACATTATTTATGGTGGAAATGGATTTCCCAGCTAGCAAATATGATTAAATATTTTTTTAACCAAGGAGAGAAACACTGTCTGTGCCCTGATCATCCTTCGAAAGTCACAGTGAATTTTGGGCTTCCCTGTCCCCCCATCCTTCTACAGGTCTCTGTCTCTCATGTTCCTATGGCTGATGGTCTTCACGCCATGTCCTGGGGTCTCTGAGGTCTTCTGGTGTCACACTGGTGACTTCTAGAGAAAGGATGGAAGACTGAGTCCCCAAAGTGAACGCCAGTGCACCCCAAATGCTGAGCCCCAGGGTTCAGGCATTTGGGGCCTTTTCCAGCTATGCTGAGCTGATGGCTTGGGCACAGCCTGGGGTGTGATATTGCAGGTAAGCTGTCGCCCTTCAACCCAGGTCCAAAATGACAAGTGAGCAGAGCGAGGTGGCACATGCCTATAATTCCAGCACTCGGGATGCTGAGGCAGGAGGATTGCTGTGAATTCAAGACCAACCTGGGCTACATAGTGAGTTCCAGGTCAGTCTCAACTACATAGTGAGACACTCTCAAAAAAAAAAAAAAGAGAAGTAAGAAGAATAGATAAGATAAAGACTGCAGACCAGGGTTTGGCTTAGTTTTCAGGGAAAGTTAGAACTCTTGCTTTGCTCCATCCAAAGGACCTTCTGAGCAACCCCCGCCTGGAGTCCAGATCCTGGAGGTGAGTGTGGAGGGTGTTCTGTCTCAAGAATGCCACACTGTTAATGCTACTGCCCCGGCCAGGGACTGATGATGGGAGGTGCTGGTCACCAGAGGAGGTGGCACTCGGGTGTGCAGAGGTGGTCGGGGTGGCCTAGAAGGAAGGGTGAACGTAGTGGCAGAGCTCTAGAAGGGCAGGACTCAGCTGTCTTGCTCAAACCTGATTATGCATCCAAAAGATCCAGGGGTTGGGAGAAGTTCAGGTTTTCTTGGGATTCTATATACCCCAAGAAGGCACATCCTTTTGTTACTCTCCCACCTCCAAAGTGTCTGAGACAGAGGGTTTATGGGACTATTCATGGTGACTCTAATGGCACACCCAGCTATAGATAGTGATGGTTTTCAAAGTTGTTGCCTGTTTCAGGCAGACACCAACAGATATTAAAACACTGGCAGCTTGAAAATGGCCACGGTAGCAGTGTTGAGACCATTGTCAAAAATGAAAAATGTTGAATTGAAATTCAAACACTTGAAATTGGCAAACTCTGTACACCAGATACAGCTATTTTATTTTTCTTTTCTCTAAAAAGCCCATAGGAATAGCTATAGGCTATAAGTACAGCTGGCTGTCAGATATTCAGAGGTGGAAGATGTGGGAAACAGAGTGGGTTCGTTCATGGTGCACCGTCTGTCCAGTGGCTGCCAAACTAGCGAGAAGTTTCAGGATTTTGTCCAGGAGGTCAAATGTACTCAGGGGATTCATGTTTTCTAACCAGAAAAGCAGATCAGGCCTCCAGGTTCAAATCCAGGCTTGGAGTGTTGGGATTTCAGGTTCCTTTCACATGCTGAGTTCCTTGAGGGCAAATCTCTATACCAGGCAGTAGGGACAGGTCAGAGGTACGGGAAGATTCAGGGCCTCGTTAACCCATGCCTCTATTCTGATGGACTGTGGTGCACATTGGTGTTTTCTGTTTTCACTTTCTACCCTCTGAATCTTCTTCCTGTGCATTATGGTTTGCATCTAGATGTCCCCCAAAAGCTTCATGTGGTCATAGGCTACTTGGAGGTGGCTGAAGTTAGAGCGTGTGACTGTTTCATGGTGGGGTTAGGCCCAAAGGCACTAGAATTGAGGGCATGAGTGCTACCCACCGTAAGTAGTCTGAATAAATAGAAGAGGTGGAAAAGTACTTCAAGCTCCCTTGCTGCTTTTGCTCGCTCCCATTGTGATAAACTATTGCCCCTCTGTCGCCCTGGCTTGGAGCCAGCTGATTACGGACTAAAACCTCTACAAACTGTAAGGCAAATAAACCTTTCCCCCTTTAACTTTGTGTGTCAGGTATTTTGTCTCAGCAATGAGAGAAAAGTAACTCACACAAAATTTGGTACCAGAGGTGGGGTCACTGCTGTGATGTTGCCCGGCCATTTGGCTTCAGCTTAAAAGCTTTGATTATCAATTTGGAAAGGTTTAGAGAGAACAACCAGGGAGGCATCCCTGGTACACTCTAAACTATACAGGACACTCTAGCCAGAGCCTGAAAAATTAGAGAACCATGGAAATGCTGCCAGTTAGGATGAGGTTCAGGAGGCTTCTGGATGCCAGGAAGTGTACAGTGTGCTTTGGAAGGGAGCTGGGCTTCATTTTGCTTGTGTTTAGAGACATTACCCAGGTGACAGAAAATTTTCAATGTAGTATGTTGTTGCGATGGTGGTGTAGTTACTGTTGGGGGCTTTTGGTTGGATCTATGTTGGAAATTAAGAGTGGAGAACCAGCAGGCTGATTTGAAGCATTTGGCCAGAGAAGAGGCTCCAGTGGAGGTGTGGAATGCAAGGATGAAAAAGAGGAGAATGTGGTTGTTGAAAAGGAACAGGACGATGGGAAAGGACCTGAAGTCTTTTACCAGAAGAGAAGAATGTATTTTTAATGCAGGAGATCCCTTGGATGTCTTTTGGTGTTGCCACACCTGATGTCAGAGTTAATGGGAGGCAAGGATTGTGATTTTAATACTTCTCTCTTGTTATGGTTCTAAGGCAGTGATACGATGTTGATGTGTATAAGACTGCTTTTTAAGTATTAAATCATGCACATGAATGGAAAGCCAAAGAGTTTTGAAATTTGAAGCCGTACTGTGGAAATGAGTGCAGTTAAGAATTGTATATAGGTTATACTAATGTAAATCTGAAGATATCCAGATGTATTAACTCTTCACAATTCTGCCAGTGGACACTATGATTTAAGGAAATGTGTCTGGTTATCAAGACCAGGAGTAAATTGTGGTGGATTAACTAAACAGTAAACCTGGAACATGCAGCTGAACTGAATCAGCCTGATTTGGGCATGGAAGACCCATCGAGGATTGCTGCTAATGACATAAAAAGAGAACTGGAGGGGAAGATCATTGGCTGTTGATTGTTTAGGAGAATCTTGCTGCAGTTGGCTTTCCTGATGCAAACTTGGCTGTTCTCAGCAGAGGAAGAGCTCAGGGCCTCACTGTTGCTGGGAATGGCTGCTGTGCTTGTCAGGGGAGTGCTGATCTTCACCGTGAGCATCACTTCCTGGCTCAGGTGTAGATCCCTCAGCCTGGTGGCACAAATCCTTCACCCCACTGGCACAGCTTTTCTGGCTTCCACCACTGGCCTTTGGGCCTTCCTGGTTCAGATCCTCAATTCAGGCAAGCATGAGACATTGCTGTGGGCTCTAGGCCACTGGCTGGACTCCTGGAGAACATTGCCTTGGATTTCAGGTCTTCAGCTGGACTTGTATGGGACACTGCTGTGGGATCCAGGCCCTCAGCTGGATTCTGTGTCTTTAGTGTGTGGTTTGATCTCTTGCACTCCTCCGAATTTGATTTTTTGGGTGAATAGTATAAAATAATCCTACAAATTATGCATCCTATATTAAACCTATTCCCTTGTAAACCCTGACTATAAAACTATATCTTCAAAATTCATAGTTGCATAACTTTTAGTGAAAGGCACACCTCCATTTCTTGTCATGTGAATCAAAAATTTACCTTTTGGCTGATACTTTGTCTCCCTGTATCTGGTGGCAAGGGCTTGAGCCTGTGCTGTAGGCTCAGTTACACAGACACTGGTGATTAGGTGAGCAAGACTCAGGGGCAAGAGAGTTCAGAATTCATCCCAGCGTGGCATAGCTGTGGCTTAGGCTCTGGGACTCAGACACTTCCTCCCAGGTGTGACTCAGGGGAGACTTTGCCTGAAGCCTGGCTGTGTAGTTCCCCTGGATCCTGCCTGATGTTCAAGCTCCTGTCAGTGTGGTGGAGTTCCTGACAGTTGTCTTGTCTATTTCAGGTAGTGAAAATTCTGGATTTGCTGACAGATTTCCTAAGTTGTATTCAAATTGATGTTGGGTGTGGGTTTCAGGCAATAGATCCTCATGTGCTGATATCAATTATGCAGGCTGGCTGTGAATAGAGTTCAGGAATCTGACATTACCTATAATCCATACTGGGAAGAGAAGATGGTAGATGATTGCTCGTGATCCTCCAGAATCAAGTGTTCTTCAGGGGCAAGGCTTCCAGATATTTCCTTGCTTGTCATTGAACAGGACGTTGATGGTGGGACTGACTGATACTAAAGGCACTGCGGTAGCTCAGAAAAATCATTGAAAGCTCAATGCAAAGGAACAAAATCTTTTCTTTCTAGTGGCCATGGACCTGGCAGAATATCACAGGCAGTGTTTGATCCTGCAAGACTGCTGAACTACGATGTTAATCTAATTCACAGCATCGTCAGTGTGAAAACTTTAGGCTCTGATCCAGAAAGAGTTGGGACTTCCCAAGAGTTGTCTTGGGGATTCATACGATTTGAAGAATCCAAAGCCCACCTAACCACAAGGGCCCCCGCTCTCCCAACTGACTGATGCTCTTCCTTTTCTGCTTTTCCTTGGGTCCCTGTTTTGCCATCTGTAACTTGGAATAAAGCCTAGCATTCCCTGGATGGCCAACTGCAAAGTCACATTTTTCAGGTAGAGGCTTAAATGCGAACATAATTTCCAGACTATGCTGATTTATTATAGCAAAAATCTGGGAAAGTGTCAGAAATGAATTCCTGACAGCACTGAACCAAGGAGAATTAAAAAGTAGTGTTAATCTCCACTGAATTTATTGTTTTTGAATTCTGGACTCTTCCTATCTGGATATTATAGCTTGTGTCTAGATGTCTGCCCAAAACCACATGAAGTCATAGATGTGGCTTTTTTCAGAGAAGGCAGGTTCTAGAGTATGTGATTACAAAATTAATCCACTGGTTGAATTTGACATAGTTCTGGGTAGGGTTAAGGGTGCCCCACCCTGGCTGTGAGCGCTACCCGCCTTAAGGGCACGTAGCCTGGATACAATATAAAGGGACAGAAAGGATCTGTCTCTAATAGCTTGGTGCCTTCAGCCTGCCACGGACGGTTTCTGTTTTTGTTTTTCTACCGGGGATCGAATTGGAGTCCTTGTGCTTTATGAGGCAGCTGGTGACACCACGGAGCTATATACCTGGCCACAAACTCTTTCTCCTCTGAGATACTCCTCTCCCTTAGAGCCAGCTGATTATGGACTGAAACCTCTACAAACAGAGCTAAGTAAATCTTTACTTGTTTATCTTTGGGTGTTAGGTATTTTTGTCTCAGCAACAAGAACAGTAACCAAAACACTGGAGTAGCTGGGGATTATTATTCAACTTGTTGATTAAAACTGGAAATCAAGTTTTGAAAGATTTATGAAGCTGAGATGCCAGAAAATCCTCAAAGACCAAATCTAGAATATAAGGGGGTAGAGAGTTGAAACGGTCTCACCATATGGGTCCCCACCCCATCCGCAATAGATGGAGTCAGCCCTTTCAATTACCTTTAAGCATGCACTGTTTGCTGGGGCACTGGCGTCTTTGAGAACCATTTGATCACATCACGTCTTTGTGGCTCAGGGAAAGATTCTATACTTAAAATGGCTTCTAATTAGATTGGAGGATGGAGGGTTCTTAGCAGAAGAAGCTGGAAGTTGCCCTTGACTCCACATGCCAGGTGAAGTGGATGCCTTAGCCGGTAGGGACGCTCTTGGTGCAAATGGCTCAGTCTTGTGGAGCCTGAGCCTCTAAACAGAGGGTGTCTGTACGGTCTGTTTTTATTTTCACAAATAGCATGGACCCCTCCACGTACGTACAGCCTTGCACACTCAAAACAGGTAAGGCAGATGCACATTTTAAATGTTTTGATTGAAAGTGGCCTTCCAGAAAAGCTACAGTGATTAGAAAGCAACCCACCTCTTGTGAATGAAAGTACAAGTAACCTTTTTAAAGAACCGAAGGCTTGAAATAAAAGGCAGACCAAGTCAGAGTCACGGCCACTATTCAATCCAATTTTTTTGTTTGTTTGTTTGTTTGCCTGTACAGAGCAGGACAGGGAGCCCTCCTACAAGGCAATCAATGCTGCCTGGGATGGTGGGAGCTGACAGGAGTCTCAAGCCTACATCCCTGCCAAAGGCTGTGTGCTGTGAAGTTCAGGAGAAAAGAAACCAAACTAGGGAACGCTTGTTTTACTGGTGAGATTATAGGTAATTTTTATTTATGTACTTTTCTCTGCTGCTTATTTGCATTTTCCAAAGTTTCTATGTATTTCCAGTGAAAGGCATTTTTAGGAATCTATAATGTGTTCAGCAAGAAGCCAAGAGGTACCGATATGAGATTTTCTTTCTTTTTTATTTTTTGCGGGGTGGGAACTGGAGATGAAACTCGGGACCTTGCACTTGTGAGGCAGGCAGCAGAACCACTGAGCTAAATCCCCTGCCCTCCAACATGGGAGTTTTGATGAGCAATATCATACCACCACGTCACATAGCTCCTCCGGGTGGCTGCAATTCTGGCACCCATCAGGGCCCTCAGTCGCCTGGATGGGCGCATGAGTGCCATCCGGCACAGTACCTGAGTCAGTCAGAGCACAGCTGCACACTCTTCATGGTGTGGGCGTGGCCAGCAGAAGCCAAAGAGAGGGCTCAGTGCCAGCTCAGAGGCCAAAAGACCTGCTCTTCATGTACTCAGGTGGTCAGGTGTGATGATCTTAAACTGTCTGTCTGTCTCTGTTGGGACTTACTCAGACTGGTGTAAACTTGGCATCTTTCTAGGCATTTCTTGGCAAGGCCAGGCTAATGGGACCTGTTGGGATGCAGGCACGCAGGAGGTGTGGTGGCTCAAGGTTGGGTTGGTGGAGAGAGCTCAAGACCAACCATGAAGGGTGCATGCAGTGCCAACCTTGTGATTAGTCAGGTGTGTGTGAGTGGGCATGTCCCATAATTACAGGCTCTTTTCAACCCTATACCATGGGACAACAATCTAAATTGGAGGCTTGCAATTCCCACTGAGGTCATCTGAGGAGCTTGTTAAAAATGGTCCCTTTCGGGGTGTGGTGGCGCACACCTGTAATCCTAGCACTCGGGAGGCTGAGGCAAGAGGATCGCTGTGAGTTCAAGACCAGCCTGGGCTACATAGTGAGTTCCAGGTCAGTCTCACTACATAGTGAGACCCTGTCTCAAAAAACAAAAAACAAAACAAAAACATGGTCCCTTGGCTCTGGACCCAGGCAGAGCAGAGCGGTGCCTGCAGGCCTTTGTTTGAAAGCAAGCAGCTTCCTGTGCTTCCTGCCCCATGATGGGCAGCCCACCAGGATGCTGGCTTCAGGTTTCTCCACAGCTCTTCTGTGCAAACAGCCCGGCCTGTCCTTTCTGATGCCCTTGGCTATGGACTGCTGGACAGCGGGGGTGCTGGGCACAGGTGGCAGATTGTGAGGTCATGGCTAGGCAATAGCGTGATGTGCTGCCTGGGTAGCTGGAAGATCCCTCCCTGGGAAACCTCTTGTGTCTCTATGCCATCAATTAGAGCACTTGTCTGTTCCTCACCAGTTCTTGCTCAAAGTCACTGATTTTGGAATGTCAGCCCAGGTTCTCTTCCCTCCCTGGAGCTTACAGAAAGAAAAGAAATCAGGAGGGTAGGATAAAAGTCTCCAAACTTTTCGGCACCAGGGACCGGTTTTGTGGAAGACAATGTTTGCCTGGCCAGCAGGGGTGTGGGGGGTAGTCTGGGGGTGATTCAGGAGCATGAGACCTATATCTCTCACATGAGAGGCTCACTGCAGGGTTGGCACCCTATGAAAATCTACTGCCACAATGATTGTGGATGGAAATGGAGCTCGGGCACTGATGCTAGCAATGGGGAACAGCTGCAAATACAGATGAAGCTTCACTCACTCAGTCCTCTTCTGACCTCCCACCACATGGCCCAGTTCCAAAAGGCCACCGATTGGTTCTGATCCAGGGACCCAAGGCTGGGGAACGCTGTTCTAGGAAGCCCCAGGAAGCTTTCCTCAACATCTTACCCTTCAGCTTTAATCCCAGTGGCCTCTCAGAATCCTGCTCTCTCTAGACTAGCAGGGCATGAATCTATATCTGTGAGTCTTCAGCAGACCTGGTGGGCAGCTCCAGACCGGGGGACACAGAGCCAAGGCCCAGAGCCCCTAACCTGCACCTCAACATGCTAGACCAGAAATCTGAGCACCCGCCACATTGTAGGGGGTCACAGTGCTCCCATTGTGTCAGCCACCCCTGTGCCTTAGCCTGAGAGGAGCGCTATGAAGCACACAGACAGGAGGCTAGAGCACCTTCTCTCTGGGGACCACAGGTGTCTATTAGGGTAAATTTCTGAAGCCAATCTGAACCAGTAGGACTCTAGGAGCTAGAGTCCATGTATTGCAATTTCTGAGGTACACATAAATCACCTGAAGACTAAAAATGTGACAAAGTAGTAGACACCTGGGTTTGAACCAGGGACCTCTTGATCTGCAGTCAAATGCTCTACCCCTGAGCTATACCTCCACTTTGGCAGGGCCTCTCATTTGTATCTCTTCATCCATGGCACCATACCCAGGCTTGCTACATACTTCTAATCCACTGTCCTCGGCATGTATCCACAGCTGGGAAGCTTTTCAACCATTGTTGGGAGGGAAGTTTCCCTCTGCAGCCTTAATCACCCTTACCCAGCCCCTTACCTCTTGAATTGCAGTGAGGTCACCCACCTGCCTGCACACCTGGGAAAGACGCCTGGCTCCAGTGTTTCAATCAAGCCCACACAGTAATCAGGACAAGAGCTGCTGGTCCTAGGGCTTTCGGCCCAGGGACAGACTTTTCCATACACCAAGGACACAGGAGAGTGCTCACTGTTCACTCCATCATTCATTCACTTGACAAACAAGAAACTTGGTAGGTGCCAGGCCCTTTCATCCATTGAGGCCATAGAGACAGGTAAAATAGTGTCCTTATTCTTCAGTCTTATGCAAAATAGCAACAAACCCATTGTGACCATCAATCCTGATTTGTCAACTCCATTAAATTAAGAAAGGCCTCACAGATTTGTACAGCATACCCATGGGAATGTCTGGATGGGTCATGGACGTGTGGCCTTGGATATTATAAGCCTCCTGACCTGTTCCTCTCTGGCCCTGTTCCCTACTTCTCTTCCAGGCCACCATGAATTCAGCATCTTTGCTCTACTATGCACTTCTGCCATGATGTTTCTGCCTTGGAGCCAAGCAACCATGGACTGAATTCCCAAAATAGTGAGCCAAAATAAACATTTCCTCCTTTCAATTGCAGGTGTCAGACATTTTGTGCCGGCAAACAGAAAGTGACTAATACAGACAACTGGTATCATAAGTGGGGTCATGGCTGTGACTGCACCTGACTGTGTGGTTTAGAAGCCTGTAGAACTGTCCTGAGGGAGGTGTTTGGAAAAGTGTAGAGAAGTGAATGGGAGAAGCCCTAGGGTGCTATAAGCAGAGCCTGATAAGTGATTCTGGTCAGAGCAAAGAGGACAAGAGTGCTGGTAGAAATGCAGACAGTAAAGACCAGGCCCACGAAGCCTCCGCTGAGAACAAGGACCTATTGGCACTTGGACTAGAGGCCATGTGGGCTAGGCTGTGGCAGAGCCCGTGTCCTGAGATTTGCAGGAGACTAAAATTAAGAGTGCTGGGCTAATTTAGGTGCTCTTTGAGCTGATGTAGATATGGGGATGAAGGCTATCACAGCTGTTGACTGGGGGGGGGGCGGGAATGAAGTCACACTTGATAAATCCCTCCTAGCTTTCTCATCCTCTCGAGTCAATGGACTCTTTGTACTCTACACCAAGAAACCCCTGGTTTCTCAAGTAATGTGAAATGGCCACCAGTGAATGCAGAGTTGACTCAGCCAACTGAACCAACAGGTTTATCTTAGCTTCTCCAATTATGATATTTTAAGTAGTATGTTAATGGAGGACACTCATGGTAATAAATTCAGACTTATTTAAGCTGACACTCTTCTGCAAATACATCAAAGGTCCACATCCATACACATACACTATACAATTGGCAGATATAAAGTAACCTGTTGAAATGATGTGGGTATTTGTTGTAGCTCCCAGCAACTGGTACTAGAATTAGCTGAGATTGGCTCTAGCTGTGGTTACCGGACAATTGGGTGGGAGGATCTGTCCTTTCATTGCCAAGTATTTTTAGTTTACAGACTGAGAAAGCTGGGGATGCCTTTAACATGGACATTGGTAGCCTGTAGGCATCTTATACTGATGGGAACATGTAAGATTATTCTTGAAAGGAAAGCAAGTAGTTTATGGCACATCAGGGAAGCCCTTAGACCTGGGAAGGACCCAGGAAAAGCCAGGGGCCAGGACTTTAGCCAGCCTGTGCAGAAAGCTGATGATGTCACCACAGTGAACACAGGCTGCGGCTCCTGGCCCCTCTGGCGTTGCCTGAGCTCTTCCACCTCCAGGATGATTCTCAATGGACTCTGCCTCTCTGTGTAATTTACACAGCACTCAAAGCCTCTTAGGGCCAAGCTTGAGGTTACCCATGGTGGTGGATGATATTCTATGTCAACCTGACATGGCTTGGGCCCAGATGCTTGACCAAACACCACTGGACATATTGCCCAAAAGGCGTGTTTTGGAGGTCATCAACATCTAAATCAGTAGATTTTTGTAAAGCTCACTGGCCTCCATGAGGTGAATGGGCCTCGGGCAATCAGCCAAGGCTGTAAGAAAAAGACTGAGGCCCCTGAAGAGGAAATGCTGCCTCCAGCCTGGGCTCAGATCCTAGCTACCATGTCATCCCAGCCTGGGCCACCAGGATGTGATCAGATTTGTCCACCCCACAACTGTGACAATTGTGTAAACACACACATACACACACACACACTCAGGGGAGGAAGATATCTGTCACTGTGATCTTCCTTAAGCTGAGACAGGACCCTGTCTTCCACCAGAACTGAGGCAACAGAGACTTGTCCTCTGGAAGAAACTAGATATGTGAAGGGGAGGTGTCAGGCAGGCTCTGGCGATGGCCTGAAATGCCTCTCCTCTCTCCTCTAGAGGACTGAAACTCTGTGGTGAAGAAACTTGGAAATAAAACATTATGTGTATGGAATGGAAAAGGAGGGGGCACCCGGATTTGAACCAGGGACCTCTTGATCTGCAGTCAAACGCTCTACCCCTGAGCTATGCCCCTACCTGCTTAGGGCTGTGTAATAAGCACCCTAAACCTGGGTGACCACACCTGGCTGTCACCACCCTGACACCTGCACTTCTAGGCCTCTGCCATCATGTATGCCCTTCCTTCTAGGCCACCTGACCACCTCTGCACACCTGACTGATACCTCCTGGTGACCAGCGCCTCCTGTCACCAGTCCCTGGCTGAGGCAGTGACATTAAAAGCTTTGAGTTCTTCAGGGAGAACCCAGGAGGGGGTTGCTCAGCAGGTGCTTTGGATGACAGAAAAGGGGTAGGGAGAAGGCAGGACCAAAGCAGAAGTTAGGGGTTCCCCTGGTCACTAAGCCAGATCCTCTGCAAATGGGACCTAAAGATGTGTATATCTCTAAGGAGATCCTGGATGACTCTAGTTCACAGACAGTTTGGAAGATACTGGTTTCATCTGTGACTGTGAATGTTATAGGTCTGAAAAAAATGATAGGTGTTAACAAAACACACGTGATTAATGACCACATGGTACCCACGGTTCATGTCGATGATGCGCGGCCTCTTTCCAAAACTCACTCTGGGGCAATATTTAGCTGACTACCTTACCTCTTCCCCACCTATCCTCCATTTGCAAAAGGTCTCATGGATTCGAGACAAGAAGTGACCTGGACATAGGATTCTGTCCACAGAAAGGTGCTGACGTGGGAGTGAGTGAGGCCTGAGGTTCCTGGAGCATGACATGGGGTAGTGATTGACATGTGGCCAGCAGGAAAGGAAGGGCCAGCAGTGAGAGGACTGGACCACTGACTGCCTGATCTGCTGTCATATGTCCTGACCCAGATGTATACCCTCTTACTGGTTTAGATTTTTGGGTTGAACACCTGTGGCTGTGTGGCCTCACCCAAGGATCTGGGATACTTTTGGCCTCCTCTTATCTGAAGACTTAGGGGGACCTGACTAGCCTTTACAGACTCCACCTGGCTGTGACCTTACCCTGACCTACCCATATCCCCATCCCAGGATGCTACAGATCCTCCTCCAGTGCCCTCAGCCTCCTCCTGCATGGGGAATCAGTGTGAGAATCACTGTTTAGAGCTGGAGCCCTGTTCTCTCCTCTCTCCAGAGGCCTCATCCTGTCCCACCTTCTCTGCTCTCTACCTCACTCTCGCCTCTGCACACAGGGCTCTCACAGGTTGATCTACAGTCTTCATCTCACCTCTTCCTCTCACCTGTCACCTTCTACCTGTGCTTGGAGGGAGATACCTCACCTGAGATGTCAACCTCAAGCTTTCCCCAGCCATCAGCTCAGCACAGCTGGAAGAGGCCCAAGATGTCTGAACCCTGGGGCTCAGCATTCAGGGTTCCCTGGTGATTGCTTAGGGAACTCTGCCTTGTATCCTTGCTCTGCAAGCCACCAGTGTGACACCAGAAGACCTCCCAGACCACAGGACATGGATTGAGGACCGTCAGCCACAGGATCCTGAGAGGCAAAGACGTGTGGAAGGATGGTGGAGCAGGGAAGGCAAAATTCACTGTGATTTGCATAGTATGATCAGGGCATCAACAGTTTTCTTCCTTGACTACAAAATATTTAAAACTCTTTCTTAGGTATGAACTACAAATTCCAATGTAAATAGTATCACAACCTTGTACTTTTCTAATCTATTTCAGAAGACTCAGGAGTAGACATATAAAATTATGAAAGGTCTCTGAGGATCACTGAGGATGCACCTGAAGTGTGAGGGGAGGGACCTGGTAGCCAGAAGCGACAGACCATAAAGGGAGGGAGTGACCTTGACATCAGCTTGTGAAGCTGCAGGCAGGAATTCCTCCACAACTTCACACCGTTCCTCCAAATGTGGGTGAGAAGTTCACAGATTGTGAACAAAAAATGAAAGGACATCAACGCAAGAGAAATAACCACACAGGAGAACCGAGGCCAACAGCAGGGCTGGACAGAAGGGCCGGTATGAGGAGGTCCCATGGATGACAGGACCATGTGGAAGAGGGTGGGGTCCTGACCTAATCATCCTCTTGTCCCTTGTGTCATAAAAGTTCAGCACTAGGGACCTTGGAGATGAAGAACCCTGCTCTCTGAAGGCAGGCACAGTGCACCTAAAGAAGTGTAGGTAGGGACCCTCTGACCTGGACTCATGTTCCTGTCATCCCCTGTGAAATGCTGTGCTTAGAAGCACTCATGTTGCCTCATAATCACGCTGTATTCTGAACTGTACTTCAGGGAGTTAAGACCTTAGCTATGGCCTTTCACCTGTCCTAGCAGTGCTGTGCCATAGAATCGGTCACCTGTCTCCCACGGCCACCGCTTCATTCTAACCTTCCCTGCCTTTCCCACAGTGTCCCCCTCTGCACACCTAGCCGTTGCCTGTACATCCAGCCCACTATTTCACTTCCCTTGGTGAATGCATCAGCTTGGACATCATTTATGTTTCTACCACATCTGTGATTAGAGTTACACTGTCCTGTAATGTTACTACTGTCCTGTAATTTTACACTGTCCTGTAATTTTACTACTTTATTTCCCTTGAATCATTGCATATTAACAAGGGACTGTGCTTCCCAAAATTTGTGTTTCAAGATTCCCCAAGTGCTACAAATCTAAATTACCACAGCTGTCTGTATTTGTCCTAAGGCTCCTCCAAACTTCTGTTGCAACTTAGGCTGAGTTGCTGGTAATTCAGCATGCCCTCCAGAATGTAAAAGTCACTGAGGATCCAATTAGGAATAGTTTTTCAAAAATACACACATAGCAATAAAAAGAAGTCCATATCTAGGCCAGAAGACGCACACCTATAATCTGAGCTCTTGGGAAGGCTGAGGCAGGTGGAGGTGAAGTGAGGTGCAGTGTAGGCAACCTAGTGACATAGTAAGACCTTGTCTCAGAATACATACTGAGGGTCGAGGATTTAGCTCAGTGATTCTGCTGCCTGCCTCACAAGCGTAAGGTCCGGAGTTCAAATCCTGGTACGAAAAAAAAAAAAAAGAATACAAAGTGAAAAAGGCTAGGGATGATAGTCAGTGCCAAGGTCCTTACTCCAACCACCTGTATAACAGAAAGCAAT